GGACGGGAAGTCATGTTTGAGTTGTTGTCCAGCTGATGACTATGGACTCCTATCATAAATTCATCATCATCATCAGCCTATCATTTTCGCTACTGCTAGAATGACTTGCTCTCTGGCACGCAGTGAGGATTAGTTATTGGTAGGTGCAAACTCCTGCAGAATCCAAGCACAAACTTTGACAGATCCGTAATATAACGTCATCGTCATCGACCTTTTCAAACATCATGTCGTTATAATTTGCGAGACAACATCAATGCCTACTTTCACAGCACACACACACCTTAACAAAGTGAGTTAGCATACCTGCAATAAAATCTACCATTTGTTTAATAACATATGTCGTTAGAGCGATGTAATGTGTGGGCTATTACCGAACTACTGCGATGCGATGCAACCACATCAGTATACAATACAATAGAATAACTTAGAGTTTCAAACGACTGTGAAAGAGCGCTTGATTTTTCTGCTTGTTGTAAAAATACTGGTTTACACAGAGGTACTTAATTGAATACAATCCATACTTATATGCACCTATCTATACTTATGTGCATTTAGACGACCTCCGTGACCGAGTGCTTTGTACGCCAGGTTTCATGGTGTCGCTGACTCGAAAGGTCCCGGGTTCGAATCCCGGTGGGGACAGATGTTTGTGTGATGAATACAAGCATTTGTAGTCCAGTCATGGATGTTTAATATGTATTTCTATATAAGTATACTTATATATGTACTGTATATGTATTTTATCCGTTACCCTAGTATCCCATAACACAAGCCTTACCGTGCTTACTTTGGGGCTAGGCTAATTGGTGTGTGTTTTGGAAATATTTATTAATTTATATTTATATTATAAATATGGATGTCTTTGTTTGTCTGTCTGTTACTTCTGCACGCTTAAACGCATTTAAACAAATGAAGTTGTGTGCCCCACCCAACTTCATTTCTGATTCGCAATTACGTAGGCCACATCACTCACCCCAAATATAACCAATATTAAATTACCCAAACTTACGTAGATTTGAACATACACAAAATAAAAGCAATAATGAAGTTTCGAACTAATGTAACTAAGTAAAATATTTATTCACGTTCACGCATCTCCACAATTCGGAGGGCATACATTTCCCTTCTTTATGTCAACACAATTTCGTCCCAACGGCCTCTACCCTCCATGTTGAAACTCTACCGGAAGTAACCATAGCAGCAAACAAACTGTTTTATGTAAAAGACGTTTTCGTTGTTTAATTGTACTATTTTTGATTTTGGAACAAAAGGCGTCGAGTAGGCATTTTTGTAATAAGAATCCTTATAAATACACAGAAAAGCTTTTTCATTATGTTTTGAGAAATGTTTTCTTTCAAGACTTGCTTTGTTTCGTTCTTATACCTATTTTTTTTTTCAAATTTTTATTTTCATAAATGTATTATTATACTTACTTAAGTTCTCTATTTCTGGAGGACAATTAGCGCAATATTTGGCGTCATATTTTCTTACAGGATTTTGTCATGAAAAATGTCATTTGATTCTGGTATAGATGATGATTGCCCAATTTGAGCTAACATGTTTAACACAAGAAGTCAAAAGTCATTCGAATGTTGAATAGACATTCGTGAGACAAAATTCGGTCTATAGTAATTTATGTACATGTTACGGATAATGCTGGAAGACATAATAAACCTAGGTTTACTCGAGTTTATCTAGTATTACCCAAACGTTTTGTGTAAAATTTAATATTTAAAATAAATCAGTTTTATACGGAATTTACCTAAACTCATCTATACCTACCCAACTTTGTTTGGGCAACGTTCTGGTGCGGGAATCCTGCTTGAAACCAGGACCTAGTGGAACTTTTTCTAGTTAATTTTTCTTTAGACTAATAATTCTAGCATTTAAATGCTTAAAAATATTATAACCTGCAATATCTATTTTATTTAAAATGATGTATTTGTTATTTTTATTATATTTCTCGCTACTCGGGACCGGAATCCTGTTTCGTCATGTTTGCACCCAAAAATGTTATAAAAAATCAATAGTGACAGTTTGATTCAGTTACTGGAACTGTTATGTTTATGGACAGGATTTTACTTTATACACGGAGAAAACAAGCGGCTGACGCATAAGTAGGGGAGAGCGGGGCTGAAAGTGCCGTTTTTGATAAATTGCTAGATAAATCGTATTAGACGAATGCTACAGTTAATAGTTCTACGCTATCTTAGGTTAAATTCAATCTAGATTTTAAATCCTTGTTTTTGTATTTTTATAATAGTCTTTAAAGATAATCGTATTTATAAACAGCACCCGAAAGACATGACAGATCCCTTGCTTGGGTCAGTTGTGCCGTTCATAATTTTAGGACTTTTACATGATTTAAAATGGATTTTGAATAACCACAACATTACAAATGTACGTGTTTTATGCTTCCAATTTGTTATTTATTTATTGTTGTGACAAACAAAGAATATAATAGAACTACGGCGGTTTTTCTTTAGATTGCGTTTGGTTTTTGTTTTTTATTAGAAGTACCTCCATATTTGCATATATTTAAAACAAAGTCACAGCACTAAATTTTCATGTAACATTAAACAAATTTCAAACATACACATCGTATCGTCGTATTTTCGTTTTTAAACACTTTTATTATTACTGTACAAATATAATTCTAATGGCAATTTGTGGCAAATAATAATCTGTAAACGCCCATAAGTCATTGGTGGCCGGCCGGCCATCTGTTAACATCGGAACGACCCGCTGAAACAAAGGCGGTGCGGCTTTTAATGAACCCAGATTATGAAGGTGTTAAAGCACCGCCGCTCTTTCAAGTTCCAAATTATGACTCGCCTCGGCCCGGCTCTTCACGGGGTCACGTCGCATTTCGGCAATCGGCAAAAGTTTCTCCACTCCGCTCGCACTCAAAACACTCGCGTACACCTCTCTCCTTTCTTCCAACATTAAATTGTTTTCTTTTCGGTCGTCGGCTAATCTCAAATGGAACTTTACGATGCAACTTTAAAGTCCGCTCTCGGTCGTTTCGCCGCCCGCGTCATTTAGTCTCATACGTTAAGATCAAGGAACAAAAAAGACCAAATAAATCTGTCCTTGTCTGGCTCGCGGCCGGAGAATTTGAGCAATGTAAATCATTTTATTACAATACGTTGTTTTTTATTCGGTGCCGCTTCCTTTGTGGTCGGATATGTTGCCTCGTGCTTTTTACGGCCCTTCCTACGCTGCGATGGCTAATAGTCAGTTTCCGTCAACTTGGTATTGACTTTTAGGATACGATGACATGATTAATATACTTCTTTGCGAAAATACCTAGCATTGGCATCCAATAGCAGCAAAAATTTTATATTATAAATTCACCTATCTTTTGTGAAATGGCATAAATATTATATTATACGGCATACTTCTCTTTCCCGATATAGGTATCCTATTAAGTGAGAACAGTATCGGTGTAATAATTTATATTACATATTTCTGTTAAAATCAGGTTTTGACTTAAGAAATTGCTGTAAATTCAAATACCCCAGTAGTCAATCATAGTAATTTTGACAAATTGATTAATAAACAATCCCATAACTACCGCGTAATGTTATTGCCATACAGAAAATGAAATGAGGAATGGTTTCAATTTTAAACCGCTTAACCTACACATAAGCTTGTGTAGGTACATTCTAACTACATTTAGCATTTTTATTTCTATTTCGGATTCAATCAACTGGATTAAAATCGCGTGTTCGCTTTCATGTCATAAATCCCGATCGCGACACCAAAATATTGAATGGTGCCAAAATGTCACCCGAACTGCAAAGAGGCCGCCTTCTTTGTCGGATTCGCCGCCTCACTGGGTGTTCCGTTGAGCCCCTATTTTTTCATCTCATTCAATTTTGACTTCTTTCAAAAGGCTATTAATATAAGCCGCATTTTTTAAAATCAGTTTTTAAATCCATGATGGGCATTGTTAAGGCACTTTTTTAATCTGTTTCCGTAGGATACCGCTACCGGCTTATAAATGAGATGGTTCGACCTGCCCAGCGCAGCGCCGTAGCTGCCGACCCTTGATTTGCCCGAATTAAAACATGATGTGGGTTTTTTACAAAAAACACTCGGCTAATAAATAACACGTGTCTCAAAAAAACAGATGAAGACAAATTACAGCAATATAATGTCAAATAAATTATAATCTCCCATTGAGAAACCTTTTTAAATTGGTTTCTTTGTTATTAATTAGGTCTAGGTAAATTTCTAGGACGCCTTCGTTATTATAATATTCTTTGTGAAATTAAAGTAATGCTGCATATGACCTTAGCTGCGTTCTACGCATTAATTATTTTTCTTGAATTTTTCATATTTTCGGTTTTAATAAGTAAATCTTCCGTGCTGGACTGGGAGTGTAAGAAAATATAATGCTTCAGCTGCTAATATTCCCATGTAAACAATTAAAGTTACCATTAATAAACGGACATATATGTAAATGTTGTAATCTATCCCAGGCAATTTATAAATAAATGTTCCCGAAAAACATCATTGACCCAAACAATACCAAATATGCAAAACGTTGAGGTGTGGTTAGTTAAAGTGTTTATCATTTGTATGCCAACCCTGCGAGAGAAATAAATACATCCTAGTATGTTTGATAGGTAAATTTTGAAATTTGACATTATAAAGTATCTTACATTTGAAACAAAAGTATTTCTTATACTTCTTCAAAGAATCTTATCTGAATAAAAAGAACACATATTATGCAAAACAATACACCATAAAATAAATCTAATCTTTGTATACTGTACAAGCTACAGCTTATCTTCGGAGTTACATGAAAGTTGGTTAGATCAGAAAAAGCAGTATTCACATTATTTTTGGTTGCAAACAAAATTCTGTTAGCCTGTGAAGAAAAGACTGAAATCATTTCCAATAACAAAATAACTATGCTTCTTTCCAAGAACAGTCGATGACCGTCTTTCAATTGTTTTTTTTATTCATCTAAAATTTATTCATCTTTTCAGGTCGAGGTTCAGATTCATCAGACATTGAATCGGAGCCAGGGTTGACTCTGAAAAGGAAGCAAAGAAGATCCAGAACAACCTTCACTGGAGAACAGTTGGATGCTCTGGAGAGGGCTTTCCATAGAACACAATACCCTGATGTCTACACTCGAGAAGAATTGGCACTGCAAACGGGGCTTACCGAGGCTAGAATACAGGTAAAAAACACATATAAATATGTGTTTTACAATATTGTCACCGGCTAACATCTGTACCAAATATAATATTAGCTATAGACCTTTTTATTTTGCCCACAGTAAGTTATGATACTAACGTAAAGTTACTAGACTCACTCTTCACGACTCACAGGTCTTTTTTATTATTATTGTTTTTAACTATTCCATCATCATTTTTATTAGTATTTCTATCGCCTAGCTGGATAAATGTGAACGTAATATTCTAGTAAGAGACACTCGAAATAAACAGACATTAAATAAATAAAAATAAACAAAAAGCTCTGCCGTTTACACATAAAGCTTTTTCTTTTACTTTACCACCCTTCGGAAATCGCCTCTTCTTTTTATTTTGTAGTTTATAATCAACATAAATACATTAATTAAAATTACAAAATATTTCTTCAGCTACAAAGACTATAATTTTTTAAATTGTGGTTTTTCAATTTACAGGTTTGGTTCTCGAATCGTCGCGCTCGTCTCCGTAAGCACACAGGCTCAAATCCAAGTCCTAGTCTTGCTGGATACTCAGCAATACCAATGCCACAATTACCATGTCCTTACCCTTCAGGGGAAATACCGACACTATCCCAACACCCTCAACATCCTGACGCATGGCACCACCAGAAATATGCTAACTACAACCAGTTAATGGCTCAATCGCAACACTTAAACCAAGCATTTCAGAGTGCAGCTTTTCCTAGTACATCTGGAACTACGTTTAGTCATTTAGTATCAGCTAACGGCTCAACAGCAAGCCAACTATTAGATGCAGCCGTTCCCAGAAACGACTTTGCACGGTATCCTAGTAATGAGGTCTATAATAAACCTATTGATTACATGCCTAAAGAAACTGAAGGGGATGAGAAAGTGCCTAGCGATGAAGTCATAGAACCGAGAGAAGACGCTTACGTGAAAACAAATGCTGATGAATATAATAAGGCGTTACCAAATAGCGATTACCCAAAAGTTCCTACAGACTACTCCAAAGTATCTGTTGATCCATCATCGTCTACAAACTGGAGTCCGTCTCACAACACTTTGAATATGAGCCTATCAGGTATCTCTAGCGAGTATAAATACATGAATGATCCTTACTCTTTCCCTAACATAAATGATCCTTTAAATCAACATAATTATCCAAATCCACCACCGAACGCGGTAAACAAATACTGGATATGACAAAGTATGAAATTAGTTCTTAAGTATTTGTTTCAAAATAAAAAGATATTGTTAATTTTTATTTAAATTATATACTTAATATATGATAAGTTTTATATATTAATTAATATTTAGATAGTAATAAAGAATAATACCTCTATTCTGCATTCCATTTTATAGATACCTACTTTAAACCAAACATTTGTGAATATTTGTTAGAAAAGTCATTAGTGATTAACTTTAATTTAATAGATTATACATATTACCTTAAACTTGTTTTATTCATTGATATAACATTGACCTCAAAATATAATTTATTTCTTTTAAGTTAAAATAATAAGTTTACTGTTATTAAATAGGGATGATGACTTTTTTTTCTTCGTTTATCAGGTAGATTATCAAAAAGTATTGGACACGTATTTTTCCTTTTTTCACATAATATAAACATTGCAGAGATATATTGGTTTTAAAAGTCGCATGACGTCACGTTTGTTTACACTTATAAGAGAAAATTCACTCAAAAGTGACGTCACGAGCCCCTACTCCCAAACTTTGACGCGCTATAACTTTGTCTTTTTTGGTTGATTGTCCAAATAAAAAATACGTGTCTTCTATTTTTTGATCATCTAACTGACAGACTAAACAAAATTTCGTTTACTGTACCCCGTCATCACCCTTATTAATAAACACAACAAAAAATTTCAAGATAAGAGATAACTAATTTCCAACCATAAATAGATTTTTTTCATCCTTAATTATTACTTTCCTATGGCCATTTTCATTAATCGAACTCCATTATGATATATGCCTATTAGAACTTTGTTGCCTAGCTATTTTTATTATTTAGATTATAATAACAACTGTTGTTAAGAAACAGATCAAGGCTATCCTTCCCTTTTACTTTATTATATTGAAACTTGCTGCTAGGCTATAAAATGAATCTACTGCCCAAAGGAGATCCGCAAAAAAGGCCCCAGCTAAGGCGTTAAAGTAATGTAACTCAGATTTTTGGAGTTAAAATAATAAATATGTCCTAAAGTTTTCCTATTGCCAAATTCGGATGCTAACGTAGGTTTTTTGCCCGTAAAAGTTTTATAGGCGCTAGATGTTAAAAAGTAACTACCAAATTACGGTGGACATTTACAGACTGTTGATGATGATTATGGTACAAGAATTACTTACAATTGGTTAATAGTATAAAAAAGCTAATACATGCTTTTCTGTCCAAAACTCTGAAAATATAGTAGATAAATAGAAAATAAATAAAGATATACTCTATCATGAAACAATAAAAGTATTTATTTATCTACAAAAATGAGTGTTCATTAGGAAGAAAGTAGTACAAAAATATTGTTGTATTTTTTTTTCATTAAGCCTATTGTATCTTAATACATGAAAATACTGTTTTAACATCCTGTAATTTTATACAATGTGTAAAACGCAATCAACTCACAAATCTTTATATTTTTTTAATCACTGCCCTCTTGTGTTTAAAACCCATATAGACCTACCGTACCATATATGGTACAGTAACTTTCTTAAGTAATTGCGTCGTACCTGAGGGTAGATTTGTTTTATTTATTTATGTAAATGAACGAAGACTACATAATACTTTAGTTTATAATAGACAAAAACGTTATTAGTTTCAGTATTTTTAAGTTTTCATTGGATTTTTGTCATAAAAACAATAAAAATAATCTACTGTGTCTTCGAAAAGGTCAATCCCACAATATTTATTATTGATTATATTATTTAGCAGTTTTTTTGTAAAGTTTAGAGTTTAAATAGATGTTTGAAGAACAAAAATGTTTTACAAGTTATTTATATTAGGTATATTTAATAAATCAATTAGGTGTACCGTATGTGGTACAGTAGGTTTATGCATAAGCAACATAAACGATAGTCATATGTTTTTCGATTTTTATGTTTCATGGTTTTAGGTCATTGACGCTTTACGATATTGCTTCAAATCTTGAAGTTTTTATGACTAGGGTCTAGATCTTGTCATTTTTTTACTGCCGCCTGATGACCTTTTGTCTTCATCAGTCTGGTCACCGCCAACGTTGATCAGACTGACGAAGCCTCGGGTAAAGAAGATGTCTGTAGACATAAACAATTTGCCTCCAAATTTACTTCAAGCACCAGCAGAATCTACTGCTTTTAGAGAAGAGTCGGGCAAACCATGTGAGTCTCAAGAACCCTTGTAAAAATGTGTAAAAAAGTGTAATTGGAGAAAAAAGGGCCTTATAAGACAAAGTCATTATTGGGGTACCGGTTTATCACGTTCCAATAGAAAGAAATCCAATAGAATGGTTTTCCTTGTTCTTTTCTGATGATGTATTTGACTTGCTGACGACTGAAACAAATAAGTATTTAGAACAAAAACATCTTCCTGCTGATGTCAAGATGGAAGAAATGAAAGGTTTCATTGGAATTCTGTTAGTCAGTGGCTACTGTCAAGTCAGCAGAAGAAGTATGTTTAGGGAAAACGTACCCGATCAACAAAAAAAAAGATTGTGTCTCAACCACATCTCATTTACCAAAAAACAAGAACATGGGGGGTGTAAACTTATCAGATCAGAACATCTCTTCATTGCGAACCAGCATTCGCTGGAAAAAATGTTACATGCCTCTGATTCTGCATTGCATTGATATATCTGTGAAAAACGCATGGTTGCTTTACAGACATAATGGCAATCACATGGACTCGCTAAGCTTTCGGTGTCAAATTGCAAGTGCACTTATTGATGGCAACAAACATACCAGGTCCGAGTCGACCATCTTCAATAACTTCTGAGTCGCGATATGACGAAAAAGAGCACTACGTTGCTAAGCAAGAAAAGAGAACCAGGTGTGGACATTGTCACAAACGATGTGTGTCAAGTGCAATATTGGTGTAGACGTGGAATATTTTATTATTTTCTATTCAAATAATAAGTAAATATTTGTGTCGTAATATCAAGTGTTTTGTATGCTTATAGTCCTACTGTACCACATATAGTACGGGCCCCCCTGTGCCCCCCTTTTGTTATATATTTTTTTCTTAATTTTTATATTAGTTTTTAGGGTATTTTTAGCTAGCTTTTGTATAAAAAGCAAATTATTTTTACTAAAATTATTATCGGTCTATATGGGTTAATAGTATAGAATGCCCGAAGATTTTTTTCTCTAGTGACTTTATTACACGTGGCACGTATAAAACTTCTATAGGCAAAAAAAACTATGTCAACATCTGAATTTAGCGAAACTTCAGGAGTTTTTTTAATATTTTAACACTAAAATCTGAACTTCATTTCTTTGGTGTCGGAGGTGGAGCAATTTTATATGGGGTTTGGTGAATTTCCTTTTATAATTTTAGTTTCAGTAATTACAGCTGTTACCCACAGTGATAAACCATTTATGCGGAAAATATGTAAATTTGTCCCAACCACAATATTGGTACAAATTAAACTTAATCCCCTTATTAATAAACGAGGAATAAGCTTAAGCTAGTAACGCCGTGTTTTGTTCATATCACTCAAATGTCATTTGTAATGAACAGAGACATAACATGGAGTAACTAATCCAATTTGAGTAGTTCGATGGCGCAGGTGGTTAGCGAGTTCGGCTGCGATTGTTGAAGTTAAGCAACTTTCGCAGTGGTCTGTCATTGGATGGGTGACTAAAAATTTACTATCTCGAGCTCCTCCGTGCTTTGGAAGGCACGTTAAACCGTTGGTCCCGGCTGCATCTGCAGTCGTTAGCACCCACCAATCCGCACTGAGCCCTCGTGGTGGGTCATGACCCAATCTCCCTATTCCATCCATAGGGAAGGTCTGTGCCCCAGCAGTGGAGACATTAATAGACTGATGATGATGATGAACTAATCCAAGCTTTTTCATCATTATAATTATCGGTCTCAATATGAATCCACTGTAGGGGCACAGGCCTTCATTATGGATGAAATAGGGAGAGAATCTAAGCTTATTCTTCGTTTTAAGGGGGACACTGTCCCCTCTGTTGAAAAGTACTTCATCGGACACAGAAAAGTCATTCAATCAGGCTCATAGTTTTTGAAAAATTCACGTGTAAATAGACAAGAGTGTTAATGCCCACAGAGACCCAGTTCCAGTATAAAAAAGAAAGTAATTTGATAAAGCTTTTTTTTAAGTTGGGCCATTTTAATTTAAAATAATATTTTAAACAAGGAAGGTATGTGTTTTTGTATGTTTGTAACGAATAGACTCAGAAACTAGTAAATTGTTTGCTTTGAATCCTAAGTGCAGCGAGGGATAGCTTTAAAATAGTGTTGTTCCCTTGGTAAATAATACTTTTCATCACCCTCTATTAGAAAATAATTAAATGCAACTAACATTTTTAGCGCCTGTACAATGTTCTCGGCAGTTAATATAATACATACTATCTTTCCCCCTACTTAAGAAAGACACACATTTTTTTTTTGTTAAACCATATAAAGTCCGAATTTGAGTCAACAATTATGAATGAATTTCACAAGTTATTTTTTTTGCAGTCTGTGATTTTATCATAAGATATTCGTGATTGATCTTTTTGTTGTTTGAAACTTTAACTACCTAACTATATCCTCATTCTTAATTCAAATCACTTTTAGTCCCTAGAGATTTAAACGCTTTTTTGGTCTCTTGTCTGTAAGCAGAGACCAAACTAGCTCTTTACGAATAAATGTGATAAAAAGTCATTAAAATGCTACATTATCCTTAAGTAACAAAATAAATTCTAACTTTATTGCCTTGTTTGTCATTACTTTGGTTAGTAAGTAATATTTGAACCTACTTTATTTATAAGTAAAAGAAAATACTAAAGTGGATGCTCTTTAAACTCTATATTTATTTACATAAATTATCACTTCTATATAATGATTCTAGGTAACAAGTTATTTTAAGTACTACTGGGATGTGATTTCAACTACTGATGCTCCAGGCTCGACGGGTGGAAGAATATTAACATTGTCATTCTCGGGCGTAGCGGGTGCGACTTCGGATTGCGCGGTCTCGACAACAGCCCCCGATGGAACAGGAACACTCTCCTGCTGAGAAGGATCGACTACTGTCTCTGATGCAGCAGGATTAACTACTGGGATTTCGGGTTCATTTAGTGCAACAGGCGTAGACGGCGTGTTTCCAAATTGTGCGGGCTCAACAGCTACCTCAGGCTGAACGGGTTCAATAACTGCATCAGCCGGAGCCGGAGCACTTTCAGATTGTGCAGGTTCAATAGGTGCCTCAGGTTGGGCAGGGTTTATTACTGCATCAGGCGCAACAGATTCATTTGCAGGTTGTGCAGGCTCTACAGCTACCTCAGACTGAACGGGTTCAATAACTGCATCAGCCGGAGCCGGAGCACTTTCAGATTGTGCAGGTTCAATAGGTGCCTCAGGTTGGGCAGGGTTTATTACTGCCTCCGGCGCAACAGGTGCATTTTCAGATTGTACTGGCTCAACAGCTACCACAGGCTGAACGGGTTCAATTACTGCATCAGCAGCAGCCGGAGCATTTTCAGATTGTGCAGATTCAACAGGTGCCTCAGGCTGGGCAGGTTCAATTAGTGTATCAGCTGCAGCCACAGCATTTCCAGATTGTGCAGGTTCAACAGCTACTTCAGTTTGGGCGGGTTCAATTACTGCACCAGGCGCAACCGGTGCATTTTCAGATTGTGCAGGTTCAACAGGTGCCTCAGGCTGGGCAGGTTCAATTAGTGTATCAGCTGCAGCCACAGCATTTCCAGATTGTGCAGGTTCAACAGCTACTTCAGTTTGGGCGGGTTCAATTACTGCACCAGGCGCAACCGGTGTATTTTCAGATTGTGCAGGTTCACCAGCTTCCCCTGGTTGAGCGGATTCTACAACTGCATTAGGTTCAGCAGGAGCATTCTCAGTTTGCGCAGCTTCAACAGTTGCTTCAGGACGGGAGGGTTCAACTACTTCAGCAGGTGCAGCTAATGTATTATCAGATTGCACAGGATCAACAGGTTGCTCAGATTGAACGGGTTCAATCACAGCATCAGCAACAGCCGGAGCATAACCAGATTGTGCAGGCTCAACTGCTATCTCAGGTTGAATGGATTCAACAACTGCATCAGGCACAGCTGGAGCATTGTCAGATTGTACCGGTTCAACAGCTACCTCCGGTTGAGCTGATTCAATCACTGTAGCAGGCACAACAGGTGCATTTCCGGTTTGGGCAGGGTCAACAGCTACCTCGCCTTGGGTGGAGTCAACCACTGCATCAGGCGCAGCTGGTGCATTTTCGGTTTGTGCAGGGTCAACAGCTTCCCCAGGTTGGGTGGAATCAACCGCCGCATCAGGCGCAGCTGGTGCATTTCCAGATTGTGCCGGTTCAATAGCTACCCCCGGTTGAGTTGATGCAATCACTGTAGCAGGCGCAGCAGGTGCATTTCCGGTTTGAGCAGGGTCAACAGCTACCTCAGGTTGGGTGGAATCAACCGCCGCATCAGGCGCAGCTGGTGCATTTTCGGATTGTGCAGGGTCAACGGCTACCTCACCTTGGGTGGAATCAACCGCCGCATCAGGCGCAGCTGGTGCATTTCCAGATTGTGCCGATTCAATAGCTATCCCCGGTTGAGCTAATTCAATCACTGTATCAGGCGCAGCAGGTGCATTTTCTGTTTGGGCAGGGTCAACAGCTACCTCAGGTTGGGTGGTATCAACCGCCGCGTCAGGCGCAGCTGGTGCATTTTCAGATTGTGCAGGATCGACGGCTACCTCACCTTGGGTGGAGTCAAGCACTGCATCAGGCGCAGCTGGTGCATTTTCGGTTTGTGCAGGGTCAACAGCTACCTCAGGTTGGGTGGAATCAACCGCCGCATCAGGCGCAGCTGGTGCATTTCCAGATTGTGCCGGTTCAATAGCTACCCCCGGTTGAGCTGATTCAATCACTGTAGCATGCGCAGCAGGTGCATTTCCGGTTTGTGCAGGGTCAACAGCTACCTCAGGTTGGGTGGAATCAACCGCCGCATCAGGCGCAGCTGGTGTATTTCCAGATTGTGTCGGTTCAACAGCTACCCCCGGTTGAGCTGATTCAATCACTGTAGCAGGTGCAGCAGGTACATTTCCGGTTTGTGCAGGGTCAACAGCTACCTCAAGTTGGGTGGAATCAACCGCCGCATCAGGCGCAGCTGGTGTATTTCCAGATTGTGTCGGTTCAACAGCTACCCCCGGTTGAGCTGATTCAATCACTGTAGCAGGTACAGCAGGTACATTTCCGGTTTGTGCAGGGTCAACAGCTGCCTCAAGTTGGGTGGAATCACCCACTGCATCAGGCGCAGCTGGTGCATTTCCAGATTGTGCCGGTATAACAGCTTCCCCCGGTTGAGCTGATTCAATCACTGTAGCAGGCGCAGCAGGTGCATTTCCGGTTTGTGCAGGGTCAACAGCTGCCTCAGGTTGAGTGGATTCAACAACTGCATCAGGTGCAGCTGGTGCATTTCCAGATTGTGCAGGTTCAACAGCCACATCCGGTTGAGCTGATTCAATTACTGTAGCAGACGCAGCAGGAGCATTTCCAGTTTGTGCAGGGTCAACACCTACCCCAGGTTGAGTGGAATCAACCGCCGCATCAGGCACAGCTGGTGTATTTCCAGATTGTGTCGGTTCAACAGCTACCCCCGGTTGAGCTGATTCAATTACTGTATCAAGCGCAGCTGATACATTAGTAACGGTGATGGAAGTAGAGCCAGTACCAGGAGGCTGGTTAACTGATGATGCTGATGAATCAGCATTATTTGTAGAAACAGTTCCTGTGACATTATCCGAACCATCAATAGAAGTGTTATTAGTTCCTGGTCCACCTGTTATCCAGTTCGGCAAAAGACCAATTAAATACTGTGAGATCGCTTGTAAATATGTTCTTTTTTCTTCTAAATACTGTTGTGATTCTTGTACCAATGTAGAGTTAAGATTTTTCAATATGTTTGTTTTATTATTGACCTTCTCGAGTTTTCTTTCCAACTCTGCCTGTAACTGTTGTATTCCAATGGCATTTACGTGGCTTAAAATATGGTTTCCTAAAGCATCTTGCGACGCCGTGTCACTTTGTAAATTCGATTGTAATAATTTGATTACAGCTTGACGATACTCAGTCTTTGTACTGTTGCTATTAAGGCCAAGCTCTTCCTGGAAATATTTATTTAAAGCTGCTTTCTTTTCTAGTTTGCTGCTATTGGGTTGCAAAGCAAATTTATTATAAATTAAGTTTTTCCAAATATCTTCAAGGTCTATAGAATCATTTTCTTCCACAGATTCTAAGGAAACTGGCTTATTATTTTCTTGTGCTTCTTTTTCTAGTTTTTCCAATTCTTTTTGCTGCTTTTCCTGTTGTTTGCGCTCTTTTTCTTGTTGTTTACGTTTATCTTTTTCTCGCTTCTCTTGTTCCTTGCGCTGGCGTTCGATTAATTTTTGTTCTTGTTTACGCCTTTCTTCCTCTCTTTTCTCCTCATCTTTGCGCAGTTTTTCAGCTAATTTTCTCTCTTCTTCCTCTTGTTTACGCCTTCTCTCTTCTTCTTTCCGTTTTAATTTTTCTTGTCTTTCTAATTCTTTTCTACGTTGTTTTTGTATCTCCTCCTTTATCTTTCTTTCCAAAGAGTCATTGTCTTCATCTGTCTCTATCGTAGCCTCTGACTCATTAGAATCGGATTTTTCGGAATGCCATAACAAAGCTCTTCTTGGTTCTACTTCATTTGGCAAATATTTCGCGCTCACCATGCAAAAGCACACCTGGAAACAAGCAATCATTCGATTATAAGTATATGAATAACGAATGATAAATACTATTTTGTTATTACTATATTAACTCTGAAAAAGAGGGCAACTAAGCATATGGCCCGCATATCATGAGATGATAATTCAATTAAACTACTTTTGTTCGAACAACTGTAGATAACAATCTTCAAGGGATACCATACTTTATTACCTACTTATGTTTTTTAAATTTCCTTATCTAAAGGAAATATTACTAACTATTATATAGTTAGGTCTTTATTTTTTTTTTAAGCCATTTAAATGCTAGATGTTTAAATCTAAAGAAAAGTTTTACTAGAAAAAAATCCACCAGACAGCGGACAGGACTCGAACCCGCACCCTTCGCAATCCGGGCGAATGCACTGACCAATTATGCTATCACGGCCCTTTTGGCCGTCTCGAAATTTTCCTAGCCTTAAGCTGCAAGGCAGCGCCATCTCTTCGCATTGTAGGTAACCCACAATGTCAAATGAATATTTTTTCAAGTATTAAACATTTGAAAGTAGAAATAGCAATTATAGTTATGTTTTTATTTTTTTTAAGCATTTAATGCTAGATGTTTAAATCTAAAGAAAAGTTTTACTAGAAAAAAACTACTATATATTTACTTTGTTTTTATACTATCGTATCATTTCAATATTTTGTAAAACTAAGTCCCCGCTAAATCGTTATGTATGATCGCAATGATCACTTTTATGCCTGAACAATTTTCATGCGATTTTCGCTATTTTTTCACGGCAAGTTTAATGTATACCGGTAATGGTACTATGATCAATAAAATAATCCCCTCTCTCTCTCTCATGTATAATACAATCCTTTAAACAAAACTAGTCAAGTTCGTGTCGGGTCAATCTAAATGTAATGTTTTGTGGTTGCCCATCACAAGTGCAAATAGCAAACTTATAGACATCATTTTATTTGTTAGCATCAGGCGAACGTTCATGCTTTGAAGATTATTACTGAAATCGGGATTATGAATTAGTATTGCGAATATTTTGTTTTATTATATTTATAAAGTTCATATTATTTTATTTATTTTTTGGTTCCTATGTTATACTACAGAACATACAACATCGTAAAAAAAAGGTAAATTTAAAAAATCAAAAAACCCGACTGCTTAATTATACTTCAAATAAAAACTGAAAAGAAAAAAACAAGTCCAGTAGTCTATAATTCTGTTAATAAGGAACAAAGCTACTTTAACAGTCGGGACCCATTAGATATTCAAGAATACATAATATTTTTCAACAGTGGGTCCCGACTGTTAAAGTATCTTTGTTCCTCATTAACAGAATTATAGACTACTGGACTTGTTTTTTCTTTTCAGTTTTTATTTGAAGTATAATTAAGCAGTCGGGTTTTTTGATTTTTTAAATTTAACTTTTTTATTTCACACTTTTCAGTTAGTATTTTAAGACGGTATATACCGTAGTCTTGTTACTTCAGTAAGGGAATTAATATCGCGGGAATTATTAAGTACCTTGCGTCGGTCTAAAAGATTGATTTATTAAGACATATAAAGACTTTACCAGCGGGGTCAAGGCTACAGATGGGCCTCAATTTTCGCAAAAATGTGTAAAGTTAATTCAAGTCGTTACATAAATATCTCTAATGAATGTAAATTTTATAGTAAAATAGCACTTACTCAAAAAGTCATCTTTTGTTTATGTTTTTTTTAATAGTTTAGCAGTAAATATAAAATTCATTTACTTTTATTCGTCGACTATTTAAAATTGGCAGTGGCTGCATTATCATGTCAATGCCGGACGTCTAAGATTATGATATACACAAATTCAGTGTCAGTCCCTAGTCTCATAATTTGATATACCTACATAATTTACAGAAACCTAATATGTAGATGCCAGAAGTTAACTTCAAATGTTTTTAATCACCCTATCTAAAATACCAATCAATGACGTTTATGTCGCAGGTTGAAGAAAGCAGTAATTCCCGTCTGTTGTTTTGGGCAATGGCGGCAACTGCCTTAGATCACTAAATTAAATAAATATGCAATCACCAAAGCAAATTTTATAATATTTGATTAAACTAAAGGCGCATAATATAATTTTCATAACGTTAGGTAGAGCATCATAGCAATCTCATTTATTATCAATTTATAGTTATCTTTGTAGTTTTCTTTTAAAGCGTTCATATTTAACAGGTCAAAGACTTTGTGTTCGACCCTTTTTTATTGGTAGTGTAAAGCTCGAATGAAGAGTACTCCCAGTACTGCAATCATGGCAATTATTACCCATTTTTTTTTGTTTAAAAAAATACCGAATAATGTATCACTGTTAAGCACAAATGCTAAGTAACTTTTACAAATATAATCAAATAAACCTATTACTTACTTTATTTTTAAATCTTTTTCATCAATTAAATACTTATCTTATCCTAATTATCTATACTAATATTATAAAGAGGCAAGATTTGTATGTTTGTAACAATTAATCTGTCAAACTACTGAACCGGTTTCAAATATTAATTCATCATAAGGTAGCTACATTATTTAATATAACATTTTTCTTTATTTAAATACATTTTGTCCGAGTGACATAGGCTATATTTTATCCCGATAAATAAATTTCGCCCGTACAATGCCCGGGTGGATTACTAGTAAGTATAATATAATATTATAGATGCGAAAGTGAGTTTGTTTGATGCGCTTCCGTGCCCTAATAGCTAAATCGAGTATAATGAATTCCTTCATTCAGTATTTTTAGGTGAAAGAGTAACAAAGATCCATATAAACGTAAGATTGAAATTAAAAGCGTAAGTGGTTAATATACAACTTTAAAGCGTTGTAGATCTTAAACAATCACATAAAATGAAAAATGGTGTTAGGAACCTAAATATGATTTTTGATTATCTAGACAGTGATACCCCACTCGACATATTTTGTCAACTTATTTTTTTTACTTCGTCACAATATGGCGCCTAATTTTGGCCATATTGAATTTTGATTACTATCATATCTTTAGTAGCACTCCCATGATTGAGACGAATCGATTGATGTATGAATCATCAAAATCGGTCCAGGCGTTTGGTCTCTAGTGTGCCACAAAGGAACAAACATACATATTATATAGACTGTTAAACACATAACCCTGTCTGCGCGTAGCGCTTCGCGCTCTTGCATTGCGCAGCCGGGTAATTACTAGCTGACCCAGTGTAGTTCGTATCGCTATAAAAATAGGGTTCCGTGGTAGAAGGGTGAAAATTTAGGGTTATAAGTATTTTTTATACCAAATAATATCAAAAAGCCGACTCACGCTCAAAGGTTTTCGTACCATCATCTAAACAACATTAGACATTCAATTAAAATATTGACGAAAAAGCAACATAGAATATATATTAATGAAGGTCTATTTTATTTTAATTTCATTATTTATTTTTAAAGTGAATATACAACTAAATATTCTGTGACATTTTTAACTGTCTAGCTATCACGGTATCTCATAAACCTAAAAATGACATACAGCCTAGTAGCGGACAGATATACGAATCTTTATTCTTAGTAATAGGCTATATATATATAAAAAATATCCTGTCTCAATCTAAGCCATTAAATATATGCGTTGATACGCATAAATGTAAGTAAATCAAATCATTTCATCCAAACCAATTCAGTAGTTTTTTTGTGATTGAGTAACAAACAGACAAATACAGTAACTTACAAACTTTCACATTTATAATATTAGTAGGAATAAATAAAGATAACTTTTAATTAACCTTTAAGTAGTTTTCAAAAGGATTTGTACGTACATACGTAAGTCTACCATATTTTTTTACTTACAATTTCTCTAGCACTTGGGGACACTTGAAAACGTTATAATAATGTTTCGCAAGCCAATTACTTAATCTAAAAATTATATTCACTAACTTTAAATAAAATTAAAAAGGCACTCCATATTAAGGGGTAAACGGGTAAAAAAAATACCACGCATAATTTACGTTTACGCGAGGTACCCTAGGATTATATTTTCAAGATTTTATTTTACTATTTTGCCGGCGTGAAAACTGTGTTTTATATAAGTACACATGTCAAAAATCTGATTTTTAACACAGTTTAGGAAATTTTTATTATACAAATTCTACGCGGTCCAGGCATTAGACAGGATTCCTTGAAGTATTGTAAAAGCGTGGAATTTATTGTAGTAAACATTTCCTTAGATTTATTAATTCAGCAATTAATTGCTTAAAAAAAACATAAATTACAGCTCTTTTGTACTAAGAGTCGCGGACTGATGGACGGATGGATATAACGAAACTACAAGCACATACACTAAACACTAAAGTCTACACCAAAGCGAAGGCGGGTCACTAGTATGGTATAACATTTTAGTTGTATATTTAGATGGTTTCATGCCGTATTATGTCCTGTTTGGTGTTGACAGGGTAACATTGGTTAAGAACATAACAGAGACAACAAAATAAATAGGTAAATATGGTAAATCATGGTAAACCACACCCGATACCTCGACGGCACAATCTATGAGTTTATTTGATTCTATGGTGTTTTGAAAATTTACATTTGACTTTTAAGAGGTTTTACCATAAAAAACTGCATTAACTGTGTTCAGTTTCCATTATATTTTGTTACCTGATATTTAGCACTTTAGACAGTAATCCAAAATAAAGTAGCCCGATCATTCATCTCAAACAAAAACACAAACACTGAGACAAAAGACAAAGCCTAGGCTAACATTTTATGTCACGGGAATCGAACCAGCGACCTATAACTAACAAATTCACAGCAACCATCATAAAATTTCACGGACTTCACTATATCACACACAAACACAACACTTATATTCACTTAACATAAATGATGAATCAACTTACAATCAATAGTAAATAAATGATCTTCATTTTGTCTGCTTCAGTCTTTCATTTAAAGCGAAATTCGTTCGATTCACGTTAAGTTTAACTTGCGTGATATACGAGATCGTTCGTTTGAATATTTACGAATTCTCCAAACAGTACCTTATATAGCTTGCTTAGTAATTATGAAAGATAACATTAGATAATGACTTCTGCCCAGATAACCGCGTAACGAACTAAACCTTTCTCAAACAAAATGTTTTTGCGAACACTGACTCAGTGTTAGCATTATACAAACGTTGTAATATTATGATACTCAATTATCTTTGCCGCATGGATTAAAGTGAAAAACAAATTAAAACAGCGGATATTTACTTCCGACGGTGTCAAACATCTCGTGAGGGGATGTAACAATTGTGATACAAGTATAAATTGTTTATCTCAAGAAAATACAGCATAATAATAAAATTTATACTAATTGTTAATTTTCCTCTAAAACTTTACAAGTGTGACATCAATAACTTATGGGCAAAATAAATAATTGATAGGAAGACACTCCTGTCTTAACTAGGTACAGAACGTGCAAATGACTCCGGTCTCCACGATTAAAAACCTAAATAAAATTTTCAATAATTATATTGATAAGGAAAAATCTGTTTTTTTTTTTACTACAAAGGATATACAGATACTGATATAATCTTGCACTATAAACTAGTGCTAGTAGCTAGACTGAAAATTTTATTTTTTCTCGAGATATAAAAATCTAGCAGTTGAATGCATTATACATATATAAATATTATTTGCTACAGTTATTTTACTATTCATAATATTTATTTTGTATAGGGAGAAGTTTTTTAGCATAATTATCAGTTATTATGCTAAGGCCCACTTGCACCAAAATTCTTAATTGAAATTTAAGAGACAAACATGTTTAAGCCTCATTCTATCTCTTTTTGACTTGAAACAATTATTGACGAAGATGGAATTATGTGTTAAGCACGATTAAGCCGCAATTTGAATTAAGAACTTTGGTTCAAGTGCGCCTGAATCATACTTAATCATAATAAACGTATAAACTAAAGTCAACGTCAGCACAGCTAACTATCTAAATGTGTGTATTGCCAGTATTCTCTATTTTATGTCATTGACGAGTAGTTACCTCTCATCAAATCTTCAACCATGGAGTAATGTCGAATCAAGACTGTATTTTTTTTTGTAGTGTTTTCAAAATATCAAACAATATTATACTATTTCAAAATAATTTTCATAGCTTTTGAATGCTATGTATGATTAATATTGTCGTAATACGTTTTCTTATTCCATTCCTGATGTCTTTTTAAGTATCCTCATTTGATGATTAATCATTTGGAAATGAGAAAAGCACATTAATTAATCTTTTAGTAAGGTAATGGTCTCATAAACGACCCGCTTAAAAATTTGCAATAACAAAAGAAATATATCGATCAATATATAACTAGTCTGGCCATAAATACTGTTATATACATAAAAACTTTTCTTTTTTACCCGGCTGCGCAATGCAAGAGCGCGAAGCGCGACGCGCAGACAGGGTTATGTGTTTAACAGTCTATATATGTATGTTTGTTCCTTTGTGGCACACTAGAGACCAAACGCCTGGACCGATTTTGATGATTCATACATCAATCGATTCGTCTCAATCATGGGAGTGCTACTAAAGATATGATAGTAATCAAAATTCAATATGGCCAAAATTAGGCGCCATATTGTGACGAAGTAAAAAAAATAAGTTGACAAAATATGTCGAGTGGGGTATCACTGTCTAGATAATCAAAAATCATATTTAGGTTCCTAACACCATTTTTCATTTTATGTGATTGTTTAGGATCTACAACGCTTTAAAGTTGTTTATTAACCACTTACGCTTTTAATTTCAATCTTACGTTTGTATGGATCTTTGTTACTCTTTCACCTTAAAAAATACTGAATGGATTTTAATGAAACTTAACAGTAATATAGCTCATATATGATAATTACATATGTATAATAATTTATGTAGTTATTGAGTGAATTGGCCAATATATAACAATAAGTGTCACATAAGACGGAAAAAAATCTCCCATCTGCGAGCCATTTTGGCCTGCACTGCAAAAACAATAAAAGTTACATGAATGTAATGTAGAGTGAAAATATATCTCTTACATAGTTCTAAAAAAAAGTCTGTAATACCATATATCTATTTTTAATGTGTAAGTCATTACCGCTAAAATAGTGAATCAAAACTAAAATATTATTTGATATCTATTTCCAAAATGCACATTTTGTATTAACAAATCATTTTTTTATCAAAACAAATACTTTTATCGCTTTTGATATTTAAAGACAATAAACTTTGCTTTTTACACTATGTCATTTCGACAAATATTTAAAAAGTTACAACGATGACAAAGTGATAGCGCGGTGTACTATGTAAAAGAAAAAAAATGGGCTATTCAAAGTATCTGATCCTATACGAAGTACTAACAATAAAACTGTGATACAGTTCCTTCTTATTAAGTGATGAAAAATATATTATCATAATAGGTATTTATGATTATTGAATTTTAATGAAAAATTCAGAATTTTACTGTTTATCATTTTTTTAACGATATTACTTAATGTTACAAAAAAGATTTACTTAATATAATGACAAATAACTCATTTTTCGCTAGTAAGTACATACTTATTGGAATCCCTGTATTTATTAATCAGCTCGCGATAATATTGGGTTTGTAATAATTCTGCAAAATTCAAAGTAAATAATGTAGATTTTTATAGGTAAATCACCCCTTTCATCACCCTACGCCTATAAGTTGTTGTACGCGATGTTGTAGCTAAGAACCAAGTTCCCATCCTCTTCTATATGGGAATTCATTATATTCGATTTAGCTATTAGGGCACGGAAGCGACTTACTAGTGATCCACCCGGGCATTGTACGGGCGAAATTTATTTATCGGGATAAAACATAGCCTATATCACTCGGATAAAATGTATTCAAATAAAGAAAAATGTTATATTAAATAATGTAGCTACCTTATGATGAATTAATATTTGAAACCGGTTCAGTAGTTTGAAAGATTATTTGTTACAAACATACAAATCTTGCCTCTTTATAATATTAGTATAGATAGTTAGGATAAGATAAGTATTTAATTGATGAAAAAGATTTAAAAATTAAGTAAGTAATAGGTTTATTTGATTATATTTGTAAAAGTTACTTAGCATTTGTGCTTAACAGTGATACGTTATTCCGTATTTTATTAAACAAAAAAAAATTTGGAAAATAATTGCCATGATTGCACTTCTGGGAGTACTCTTCATTCGAGCTTTACACTACCAATAAAAAAGGGTCGAACACAAAGTCTTTGACCTGTTAAATGTGAACGCTTTAAAAGAAAACTATAAATTGATAATAAATGAGATTGCTATGGTGCTCTACCTAATGTTATGAAAATATTATTATGCACCTTTAGTTTAATCAAATATTATAAACTTTGCTTTGGTGATTGCATAATTATTTAATTTAGTGATCTAAGGCAGTTGCCACCATTGTCCAAAACAACAGACGGGAATTACTGCTTTCTTCAACCTGCGACATAAACGTCATTGATTGGTATTGTATATAGGCTGATTAAAAACATTTGAAGTTAACTTATGGCATCTACATATTAGGTTTCTGTGAATTATGTAGGTATATCAAATTATGAGACTAGGGACTGACACTGAATTTGTGTATATCACAATCATAGACGTCCGGCATTGACATGACAATGCAGCCACTGCCAATTTTAAATAGTCGACGAATAAAAGTAAATGAATTTTATATTTACTGCTAAACTATAAAAAAACATAAATAAAAGATGACTTTTTGAGTAAGTGCTAGTTTACTATAAAATTTACATACATTAGAGATATTTATGTAACGACTTGATTTAACTTCACACATTTTTGCGAAAATTTAGGCCCATCTGTAGCCTTGACCCCGCTGGTAAAGTCTCTATATGTCTTAATAAATCAATCTTTTAGACCGACGCAAGGTACTTAATAATTCCCGCGATATTAATTCCCTTACTGAAGTAACAAGACTACGGTATATACCGTCTTAAAATACTAACTAACTAAAAAGTGTGAAATAAAAAAGGTAAATTTATAAAATCAAAAAACCCGGCTGCTTAATTATACTTCAAATAAAAACTGAAAAGAAAAAAACAAGCCTAGTAGTCTATAATTCTGTTAATAAGGAACAAAGCTACTTTAACAGTCGGGACCCACTGTTTAAAAATATTATGTATTCTTGAATATCTAATGGGTCCCGACTGTTAAAGTAGCTTTGTTCCTTATTAACAGAATTATAGACTACTAGGCTTGTTTTTTTCTTTTCAGTTTTTATTTGAAGTATAATTAAGCAGCCGGGTTTTTTGATTTTATAAATTTACCTTTTTTTTCAACTTATGTGGTAGGTGGGTGGTAGGTGTTAAAGAAAATAGGATTGCAGTGATCGCCTTGCACAAAGTGGGTATGGAGCTGTCGGTCATATTTCAGACACTTCAAAAGCTTGGTATCAGTCATATATTCGCATATCGTTCTATCAACAGATACAAAAACACTTCGTCTGTCGAAGACCAGAAAAAAATTGGGGCGGCCGCGTGCTATTAGTACTACAAAGGCTGTTAATGCTGTTAAAACCCGAATTCGTCGAAACCCCATTAGGAAGCAAAAAAAAATAATATCGCGAGAAACGAAGATTCCCGCTAGGACTCTCTCGCGTATTATAAAACAAGACCTGAAGCTGGGTGCTTATCGTCGATATACAGGACATGCCCTTAATCAATCCTAACAATAAGAGTGGATCGATCAAAACGCCTTCTGTCGCGATACGCAGGTGAAAAGCACAGAAATATCCTCTTAGTCGTCCTCGTAACGCCGCACACGAGCCACACGACACAGCCACAAACGCCGCCACGAGAAGCTAGAAACGGCTACTAAAGTGGCTGAAGCGCTCGACAGCCGCCGACTAAGGTAAGGGAGAGAGGGGTGGGGAATCGCGCGAGTGACGTGTGGCGGCGTTTTGTATCGGCGCATTAAGTGGCCGGTGCGGGCCACAAGAAGCGAGCAACGACGATTTGTAGCGTGTCGCGGCCACCGGCGTACCGTGTGT